GTTCCAGTCCGCCTGAGTCAGCCGTGCGTGGAGATGGAGACCGGTCAGCAGGAGGCAACTTGGCAGCGGAATCAGTAATTTCCAAATTTATCCTTGAAGTTTGACATTCCACAAACATGATATTACCATTGGCCGACAAAAGAAATTCGGGTACGAGGCAGGATTATCAGATTCACTCTTCGTTTATAAAGTTTTCGACTTAAATAAATTATTTTAAATTAAATATGTGATATTATTTGGTGTTAATAATTTATTAATTTAATATTATTTGATATTTGTAATTTATTATTAATAATATAATAAATTAACAAATTGTTAATATCAAATGATGTTATATATTAAATTTAAAATAATTTATTTAAATTAAAAAATTTTATGAATAAATTTATATTCATTTTTTATTTTATACCTATCATTATACTTTGAGGGTAAATTTTGATATTTTACCTGGTCTAATGGGGCCAATCTTGAGAGGCAGATCAAACCCTACCCCATGGCAAGCAGATTTTCCTATAAGAGAGCACGCCCCCATAGGCCACAGCGATAAGTCCAGCGGAGGAAACCAGGAAACGCCCGTCTGATATCGTATCGGCAAATTTTTTAGAGGATGATTGAATAGGTATGATCTTGAATTTTTATTTTAAAATATTTAAATTTAACTTTTAGAGTTGTGAGAAGGAGTTTTGGAAGAGATAAATTATTTTTTATTATATAAAGTATCATTTAATGTTAAAAATTATATTAGTATGCTTATTGATTTTGCTAATGAAATGATATATATTAAATATTGAAAAATTTTGTATGCAAAGTTAGATTTATCATTATAAATATATAATTTTAAAATTATATTTAATAAATATAAGAAAATTTTAAATAAAAAAACTAATTTTTTAGAAATTAAAAACATATTTAAAATGCAAAAACTCATGAAATGTTTTTAAATTTTTTTAGACAATATAGATAATATTAAAGGAAAATAGTATATCAACACCTTCTACATGTACTTAAAATTGGCAAAACCATAAGTGAAGCCCCTGAACTAACTTTAGAATCGCCATTAAGCCCCCAGACTTTAATTGAAGCATTTAAGCCCCTAAACTCTGCAATAGAAGCAATTTAGCCCTTACTCTCACAGCCAACTTAACTGCTGTTAATTGTCATTAACTGCGGTTTGGGGGATTGCCTCGTGTGGTGAAATTGGCCATCTCACTCCCAGGTGTCAAGGGACTTGACATTTGATTTGTCCACTTGAATGAAAAAAAAAATATTTAAGAATAATTTTTTATATTATTTTTTATATAATTTTATATGTCATTTAAATAATTTTTTTATTCATAAATTTATCAAGTTTATGTCTTAAGGGAATAAATTAAAAATACAATAAATATATTTTTATAATAAATTTGGATTAAAAATAAAAATTAAC